GATAAATTCAGACTTGGATGTTTTTCGCACATGTGTAATTTTGTCATTATCTTACTGTCCGACTAAATATGGCCCGATAGATTTTTACCTCAAAAAATGTGGCCCTCCTTGCAAAAAGTTTGGACATCTCTGCTCTACATGAACCGTTTCGTTTAGTCGTGCTCTGCTTTGGTCACAGAAATGATCGGGTTGACTACTGGCATTTCGTAACCACATGTGACTGTGTTTTTGGTTGGCGATGAAAAAATGTTGGTGTGCAAACTAGTTCACCCGTAAACTGTTGGAGATTCCTTCGTATTAGCTTTTAGATGCACTTGCGTAGCGTTGGAGGATGAGAAGCGATATGCCGCCGTTAGCTGGTAAATCATGACGGTCCGCCGCTATTTCCCCGGCTCAGTGGTATAAGCTGCTGGCTGGATGTGCACGCCGCCAGTGGTCGAGTCCGAATCCTGATGGATCCGGTAGATGCACACTACTGACGAGACCCAATAGACCGAAACGGCCGTCTAGATCTGTTCCGGGCACGTGGATGACTATCTGCTTTGGAGGCTGCTGCGAAGAAATTCCTAACCATTTTCATTTAAAAGCCCATACCCATGAGCATATTTCGCCTATGGTTTTTAGACGGTGCTTAGATGAAGTGTTCCAATGTAGTTACCGCAGAAAATGGAAACAAGCTGCTCAAAGGAACAGCCGCAGCGTCTGGAATGTGAACCGGTCTCTATACCGCTCCAACAGAGAATGCATGTATTTTACGATAAGGAATATCAATCAGTAGGACAGGGGAATGGACTCGTTCCACGAAAATGTATCTGTAAATGCAGTACTGTCAATTATTTCTTGAGGTAATAGAAAATGAAATGCAAGGAGAATTGGAAACAACCTATACTTTGCTCAAGGTGATTCAGGTTTGCTACGACCCATGGTCTGGTATTTGGTCACTGGGACATCAAGAAGAACTGCTATGAGAGTTAGTTGATACTTAGCAGGCCGGCGCTCAGTACAACCGAATCTACGGTTAGATAGCTTGTACACGATAGAAGCTGTAGTTCAGTCAACTCTTTCTCCAAGGTCTCCAGGTAAGAAAGGAACACTTAGTAGGTAAATTGTTTAGCAGATGATCTGAACACGCCTGCGATCGAGTGAGCTTCTCCATCATAGTTCCATGATTTAAATAAATCTCCGGGAGATAGAGTCTGCGTGTGGTAGGCAACATTGTACAAACAAGGCCTAGTCAATAGTACTATATATGGCGCTACGGAAAAAAGGTCCTATAACAAACTACAAAGGGTATTGTGAAACGAGCCAATAACTAATTAAATAATTAAGTTTCTATTCCGGACGGTTTGACTAAGTGTCACACACATGATCAAAAGGGTAAACACAAGCAAGCAAGTACGATAGCACTGATGTGTCCAGGACGATGCAACTAATTGGTTTACGACAGTGAAGTAGCCAAAGGGAGATTGCGAATGAACTAACCAATTAATGGGCACAAATTATCACCAACCGGAAGCATTGCGTCGTACTCAGCTTTTACCAGAAAGTGTCTGTTTGTTCTTACAGGTTTAGTGTGGAAAGGAGGAAAAGCCATCATATGCTCAGACCCGTAACTATCTCTTTGCAAGTAGAACAAGGCATTCGATTTGGAGGAGGAGGAGGAGGAGAAAAAATAGTCTCTCTCCAACGCTTCCCTAAGCTACTCTGCTAAACGCTACGCAAAAACACACCGATTATGTCATCTTGACTGTCGATGAAACGTCTGCAACAAGCTTGCCAACCTCAACAAACAGTTCGATAAACACCTAAACAACCTGTTCTACTACTTTTCGTTTCCATAGCAGGTCATTTCTTAGTTGCACGAAAAAATACCAAGTGCTGATATCGAATAGATGCACATTAGTTGTGCGAAAGCCGCAACTATCCCTATATGATGGCACGGCAGATTGTAAGATAAATATGAAGCAGTCCCAATTACTTTGGTGCTCTACAGATCACCACAGGCCTACCAAGAAGGAGTGATAGAATAGCGACAGTAACTGCCACTCCGAACTTATCGGGAAGTTAGCAGACAAGTTTTAATTGCTGTTTCAGTCGCCTAATGACAAAGGAATCAACCATCAACAAGTACGTCCCCAGCTACGATCTCAGCCTCGTCTATCTGCACCTGATGTGCCCAACCGAGAACGAGATCGTTAATGAAGTGTGGTGTTGAGGACGAGCAATATCGATCTATCTACACTTCGGATGCAGTCCCATTGATAGTAATGGCCGGAGTCTATTCCCAATTGAATCGAAGTCCCAATAGATATAACGTGTTGTACTCAGACTACACGCCGGATACTTCAAAATGAAGCCTGCATGAATATAACAATGCCTACCAAGAAGCAGTGAGGGAACAGTGACACGGTGACCTGTTGTATGCTAACGATTTCATTCCTGTGCTAACAGCGAATGTTGCTCTGAATTCAACAATGAGTTCTCAATGTAAGTGCGTGTTGGGCAGGTGTGGCTTTGAAAAGTAATCTCGCTGGCTCATTAAGATGACCGTGCACGGACAGTACAGAGTCAATAGATTCTAATGCTAATCGGGCAACGTGGTGTGATGGCTTGTAGTCACCATGAGAAATGTTTTTGTTACCGGAATTATTCAGCATTGCAGTTGGAACCAATGAAGAGCTTACTAGTGTAAGGAGATCAATGCGATGCGGTTGCCCCGATCAGTGCCAAGAATTTGATTTGAGTGATTGAGATTGGATAGTTGGAGACAAAAACGGACTGCTTATCGTGTGGCCGAATCAGAGACGATAGGACTCTGCAGAACAACGGCCAATCTACTGCGTTTATCAAGAAGCACTCCGTAGTCCGTTACTTCCCTGTAGCTGTGCTGACAGCCAGAAAGAAAGACATCCTCTTTGTTCCCTTCAAAAGGATATTCCCTTCGGGTTACTTACTAGAAGGCTGTCCATTGCGCTAAACAAGATGCCTCCGGCCACTCGAGTTGACATCCTTGCCAAAACATCTATCATTACGCAAGATCTCAAAGATAGACTATCGGTTGAGTCCGAATCCTTCGTACTATATCAGTTAGACTGCACCTGTGATGCTAGGTACATCGAACACATCACCCGACGTCTATAAAAACACACTGCAGAGCAATGCCCTGCTTTCTTACAACATGGAATCCAGAGGAGTGTCCATAGTTCGATCTGTGCGCACCTGATTAACACTGGACATCTATGCCATGTTAAGGACTCCTTCTAGGTTCTCCTAGTTGCCCCGAAGCAATACCCAAAGGGACTCAAAAGCCGCTTCTTGACTATAGATGTAGCTCTTGCTATGAGACACCTACAGCCAGAATAATCAAGCAGAGGGCTCTCCTGCAAACGCTGCTTCTGCAGTGGCCCTAAGGCAGTTAGCCGGCTTAAAGGCCACCGACTCATCGTGAATTGTTTGAATCTGATATTGATTGGTGTAGTTAATTAGATCCCAATTTTACTGCTCCGCATATCATCTGAAATAATTGTATTTGTGCATAGCTAGTAATAGCACTTTGTGAGTTTGGTTATCCGCTTCATAATTGTACACGTCTGACGCGTTGTCGAAAAGAAATTTTTCGCATTTGTTCTACTGATATTTGAATGGGCATTATTTATGAGAATCAGATAAATATGGAAAAGTACGTTCCATTTGTGTAACTTTGAAAAAAAGTAATTCCAACGGTATACAGCTAGAGACCACCCAGGTTGGTGTTAGGGTTGAGCTTAAGCAGATACAGTCACAAGTGATTCTTTTCACTCCATGTCAAGTACGCTACTATGAGAACGCTACACAAGTGTCCATATTCTTTGTAAAACATCCCAAACGCCGGGAGCATTTAAGGCATTGCAGGTTTCGCGTTCGCAGCCTATCGAACATATTTTTCTTCTGTATTTACCCCGTACGGAAAGCTTGACTTACTTCAAGGATCACCAAAGTACGGACGGCGAGCCGGATCCGGCCCGCTGACTGTACCTGATATTTCGCGACATAGCGTATGGAACACCAGAGATTTGACACTTTGTGTCGTATTGTACTTGACATTATACTGTGTGAACACTCGCGTGAGCCATCTTATGCTTGTTACTTGTGACGCCGTGCTACCGTACTATTTCTGATCCCAAATTGTTGGAACCTTGATGTGAGGAATTACGCTGGGAACAAGTTCATCCATGCATCCTATCGTATCGCTGCTTATCATTGTGCGGCAATTTTCCCTTGGTCAAATCCACTGAAGCAAGTGTCATTTGCGATGCCATCTATGTGTCATTTTGGAGCCTACTTGTTAGGTATTTGGAAAGAATTGCAGGTTATCAGTACGGAATTGATGTGGACTCGCAAATTGCTGAGGCTCGTACCTTTTAGTGATTCTAAATCCCTGTAAGTAGCACTGGCATACAGTCTGAGCGCTGTTTGTTGATTGGACTCTGACGGAAATACTTTGTTCAAGCCTTCGAAGCGCGTCTCCGCTTACACGCCCATGAATATATATATATATATATATATATATATATATATATATATATATATTGCAAGCACACTTGAGTGATTTATTCTATTACCGAAGTTGCCAATGAAAAATGGTCGATTCCTTTTAATTTTTTCCTACCACTTGCTAATCCAGTAGAAGTCCGATGACTAACTGAAGTGTATCGGTCTGATTCATTTGTCTGCTCAAATAGCCTTATGTTTAATGCGCTAGACCTGACTGATAATTTAGCCAGAGAAGTCGACGGATAAGAAGTAAATATTCGCGACATTTTAATCCCACATATTCTTGCGTACATAGCCTTTCACTCCGGCGTAGTGCACAGGGCTAATCATATCATGGATGAAGGATCCCCTGAGCAGTGAGAGTATTTAACGAGCTGAAGCCATCAAGCATTTGAATGTGAGGACTTTGTGCTAGCTACGGACACCTGGATACTAGTCATCGTGTACACGATGTCCGCATGACACCGTCACGTACAGAGCAAGTGGAACTTACCCATCGGTTGCTGTCTACTCTGCTTTACAACTGATCTGTCCCAAGGCTGTCCAGCACTTCCATGTTGCTCGTCTTCACGTCTGTAAAGTTAAACAGTAGCGGAAGGTAACAAATCAGTTCGTCAGTATCGATCATGACCAAGTGAGTATATTCGTCAATTGAAAATCAGCTACAAGCCAATAAGGGTGGGTAACGAGAGGAGAATTCAAGGGACATATTCAGGAGCTGTGAGAATACAACTTATTTGAGGGACGAAAAGCCAGTTTTGGCCAAGGATCGATCATACAGTAGTTCAGGAAATCTTACAAGGGAACTATGAATGATAAAAGACATCGTACCACAATGGCTGGGGCAATGGATTTCTCACGGATAATAATACAAATGCTTAACGATTCCAGTAGCTAGAGAGTGAGATCAAAATGTTAATGTATCAAGCAAAGTAACTCATATCGGTGTACTTAGAGCAATTTCAACATGAACCCACAGTTTGGTTACGTCGTGCCTTGTCGCATTAACAGGTTAAATCATGTAATACAGGCGGTGTAATGCGTCGTCAAGACTACTTTTGATATCGGTTCACTTAGGGGCGGATGTGTCAGGATGCAGAAGAACAATCAACGATTGCGATAAACGAATTGAGCAAATTTTCCGCCGGCCTTCCAATCGGCTTTACTACGTCATCAACTTCAAATGGTGGTGTCTCGGTGTGATGTTGGGACTGGTTCAATATGGCTGTATTCGCTGCCCGGATGCTTTATGGTCTGATACACCACTCGCAGACAACTTTATTGTATACTGAAAATACTTAAGACACACAATCAAAATTGGTAAGGAGAGTGGAGCAAGCTTTTAAAATTTTAGTCGCAAGCTACTGTGAATGCCAAAGAGAAATCTAGGTCATATTATTGCCAGGGTGCCAGGCATGGATGGCGTATTCCTTATGTGGCCTCACGCAGGCGCTGAGCTCCTGCGAAAAGAATGTAGTATTAAATTGACCAACCGGCCACCGCATGAGGCCCAAGTATTGGTTAGCCTTTTCAATACTTTATCGGTCCACATTGAGCATCTGAGATCGTCCTGCACGAGCACCCCAAGAATAGTTTGATGGGAAGCACACTGCAAAAGTTCTCATAGTTGATATTCGTAGGTACTCTGGTGACGTATGCTCATTAGTTTACATTTAGCAGCCCTAGCACTTTCTGAGCTGACTACGTATGAGCTACATGGAGATATCATCGCAGTGCCAACTGGTCGTTACTCTCTTGCTTGTCCGCCAAATTTTTACATCGGATGCAAACAGTAGAATATTTGAAATGAGCACATTCGAGACGTGGTTTACGAACACCAAGAATGGCCGTAGTCCTAGAATGGAGCTGTGCAGAACACCACAGTGCGCTTCTATCGGGTCAGATAAAGCACTGTGAAATCGCACATTCAAGCGGCCTTGGATCCCGTCACCAACCCCAAAGCTGTGGGGCTTGTACAGAAGAATGTGGCGATCTAGGCGATCAAAAGTCTTGGGGAAATTAAGGTACGCAGCGCCACCTAATTTCGCATCATCGACGGATACCCTGAACGCGACACGGGTTAACAAGTGGTTCGCAGTATATGAGCGGTTCCGGCGGAAGCCATACTCCTCCGGAACAATGATACTGTATCTTTCCAAGTATCCCGCGAATGCTTCTGCAACGATATATTCCATGACTATAGGAACTGTTATGTATTCGTCCAGCCTGCGTGACCGCGGGTCTAGCAAGACAGCGCACACAACCCCAGACACACAGTTATATGTGCATATTCATCTGCTTCCCTATTGGTTCATTTTTCTATCTGCTTCCTATTGTACACACGTAGTTAGATACGTTTCAGATTACAGTAGTTTGTTTAACAGAGCGGACCTTCTCCTTTCGGCTTGTGCATGTGACTTTTCGTACACAACACTGACGTCGCAGCTTACGAATCTACGCCATGAAATTACATAGTCCTACAGTTTACTGGTCTGATCCGACCTTACCTCCTACCGAAAGTGCATGGGCCCAGTGGAAAACATCGTTCACAAACGGTATGGACCTACTGCCTGCGGCTTCTAACTACACAGAAGGCCGGAAACTGAAGCTTCTCAGACACATACTCGGTAATGTGGGACAACGTCACTTTGATACTTTGGAGCTCCAGTCACAAGATACCTTAACGAAAGCACTAGAGGTGCTGGACAAATCATGGGGCCAGCGTACAAACCTCTTCATGGCTCGCCTCAAATTCGGCCGACTTACACAGGAACCATCGGAAACTCTAGACAGTTTTGTTGATCGCCTCATTCGCGGGATACGATCCTGCCAGTACTCAACCATACCGAAAAATAGTATCGAGGGTATCATGCTAATGCAACAGTTGATTAGCGGAATCACAATGAACCGAATTCGGGAATGCCTAATTTCTGAAGACTTGTGACAAATCTGTGGAAGTAGCTGGTCTCAAAAGATGTACGGTCGAACAGTTGCAATGTTTCGCTATCCCCACGGACATACAGGATGTCGCCGAGATCCGCCCCTCGCCAACTGAATCCCAATCCCCACATAACTTTTTCCGCTGCGGCAGCCTACAGCATAAAGACAATTTTACCAAGTGTCCAGCCTTAGAAATAGGTTGCAAAAGTGCGGTAAGCGTGGACATTTTACCCGTTGTTGTCGTTCAGTACGCATTTCTCAGTTGCATTCTACAGATTCCGTTTCTAATCAGCAGTTACAGCCATCTGAAAATGTATGTACCATAGCTAACAGGGGTACTGCTTTCCACTATCGTTCACCTTGTCAGGAGTCTAAACTCCCTACACCTGACATTCGTACTGTTACAGTTATTGCACGCGATAGAACGACAAATGTTGCCATGGAACTTGATTCAGCCTCCCCTATTACTATAAAACCACGTAGTTCTTATGACAGTCACCGACATGACATGTCTAGACATTCTTCAGCTTATCGATTTGACAGTTATACAAAGGTCCCAGTAGAAATACGCGAATTTGTTGCGATTGTTAGGTAACTTGGAGCTGTAAAATCATCAGTTGCAGTGTACGTCACCCAAGGAAATAACCGTCCCCTACTCGGTTTTAACGCTATGGTTGCACTAGGAGTCACACCATCCCTATCTCGTATGCGTATAATGTCGGTTAACCTATCAGACTTACAGATACAGTACCCGAAACTGTTCGAACAAATAGTAGTGTGGGCTACCTCCTCCGTTCAGCGCATTTGTCGGAAGCAGGATGCTAAACCAATAGGTGTTGTTCAGCCACGTACAATTCCTTTGGCCAGGAGAGGCTCTTTCATCAGCGTTAGGACAAATGATTGCAGATGATCTCATTGAACCCATTAACTGTTCTGAATGGGCCCACCCTATGTTTACAGTCTTCAAGAAGGACGGTACAATGAGAATATGTCAACTCGTGGTCTAAAAGTTTGTGCTTCCAACCGCGGAGGAACTATTAGACAAACCAGCTGGTGCTTGATTTTTTCGAAATTGGACCTGAGGAAGGCTTTCTTTCACATGCCACTAATTCAAGAGTCAAGACCGCTGATCGCTTTTCTTGCAATGAACGGGCTTTTTGGTACTAAGTCTTGCCAATGGGCTTCAGTTCAGCCCCAGCAGCTTGGCAAAAGTTTATGGTTCGCACATTTGCTAATTTACCTGGTCAACTAGTTTACATGGACTAGATCTGTGTATTCGGTAGGATCCCAGAAGAACGTGATTCACGACTGCTTGTTGTGTTACTTCGACTGTATGATCTTAACCTCCGGTTACATCTTGAGAAATGCAAATTTAACGCTGGTGAAATCGAGTTTCTGGGCCACATTCTAACACCTGACGGTATGAAGCCGAGTGTTGACAACACGCGTGCTATCACCAAGACTACTAGTCCACAAAACTTAGCCGAAATAAAGCGTTTTTAGGTGTGTCCTTACAACCTACGTTACTTGCTCGATTTCACGAACATTGCTGAGCCACTGCGTGAACTGACGAAGGAAAAATGTGTATTTGTTTGGGGTCACCACCAACAAACGGCATTTGATGAAATAAAACGCCGCATAGCTTCCACACCAATCATGGCGATTTTCGGTGAGACGTGCCCTACGATTGTCTCTACTGATGCCTCAAACATTGGTTTGGGTGCAGTATTATCCCGAATTCTGAATGGACATGAAAGAGTTATTGTGTACGCTTCCAGAAAATTGTCGGTGACAGAGCTTTCTTACTCTGCAGGGGCAAAACAAGTCCTTGCTTGCATTTGAGTTTTTAGAATTGGAATTTGTTCTTGTTCGGACGACACTTCACCCTTCGTACAGACTACACAGCGCTAACTAGCCTACTTACTCGGGGGTGAAATAGCGTCAGTCCACTTCGGATACATCACTGATATGCATGCTGGTTAATCTACGAATTTCAAATAAAATGCTGTCCCGGGGATGAAAACCAGGCATCGGACGGGCTCTCTCGACTGCTACTCGACTGAAGCTAAAAATAATGAGGATGATAATGAGAAGTTACTGGTAGCTTCCCTGAGCAGTGAAGCAATCTCAGCTCTGACTACGAACTGCAGTAGGCGAGTCAGCAAGACGACACACGCTACTGCGTTCAGGAGTTTATGTTAGACGGCTGGCCACAAGATAACAAGACCACAGGCGAGTTTCTTCCGTACTACGTGTTGCGTCACGAATTTTCATTTACAGATGGATGCATAACGCGGGGTGAAAAATTTGTGGCTTCTCGGAGCTTAAGCTAAAAGATCGTGCTATGTGCTCACGAAGCCCACCCTGGTATCGTTCGTACGAAACGCAAAGTTGACGCATGCTTTTGCTCGCCCAGAATGTCACACGAAATAGGAACACTAGTTAATGAATGCGTTTCATGTCAAAGGGCAGACAATAGTGCAAAGCCGGTTTCCTGTCCCATGCGACCGTGGGCCAAAGTAGCTCTTGATATCATGGGTCCATTCAGCTCAACGTCATAGCGTCAAAGGAATTGTTTGGTGGTAGCATAATTTTACAGTAAAAGGCTGGAAGTCCATTAGTGTGGAGAGATG